CTGCTAGCTCGAGTGAGGCTTCACTTTTTCACTTTTCACAAAAAAGTTTGCGCTTTTGAGAAAATTTTGTTCTCAAGTTTAAACTGTGCGATTTACAAGTTTGCACTTTGTGTTTAATGTGACAGGAAAAAAATAAAATACATGAGTATTTTGAAACAGTTGAACCACTTTCATTGAAAAAAACAGATCGAAGTGAAATTAATCGATTTAGAACTGTATGAATCAAAATTGAATCGATTCAGGACTTTGGCGAAAAATACCCAGCCCTATTAGCGCCACTTCACAACACATGTCATCTCAAGGCACTTTACAGTTCACCAGATCATGCAGTCAAATTGATTCAAAGTTTCTTATCTAAGGAAAAACAACTGATTGCATCGACTCATTGACTCAAAGGCAATCCCTCAAACTAAGCATGCTTGTAGTGACAGTGAAGAGGAAAAACTCCCTTTTAACGCATGGAAACATTCTGCAGAACCAGACTCAGTGTGAGGAGCTATCTGCTGAGGTCGACTGGGGTTCAAGGAGGAAGAAGCAAACATACAAAAGGCAATTGTAAAAGAAGAAATCCAGTCAGTCACAGTCAGAGAAACAGGACCACACTGAAAAACAGGCTGATTTCCAACATCTATAAACAAAGGTGTTGATAGCAGCAGCACAGCTGCTCTATAAAACAATATATGTATTAAATGTGTGTTAAAATTGTTGTAACGGTTCAAAATAAAATGGCAAACAGCCTTATGACAGTGACAGCAGTTATAGTGCTAACTCTGTTGTTCCCCAACAGATTGATGCCTTCCAACACATGCAGCATTTCGTCCAGGGGGTACAACAGCAGGCCCAACATGCCATTGCAGCAGAAGACCATCAGAGGAAGCAGGAGCTCCACAAGCTGATGGCCAGGTCTGTCCATGAGTAGAAACACAGCAGTAACAGCCGTAGTTTAATTTGACTCGTAACATTTTCAACAATAACTCTGATTATAAAAATATTTCAGTCACCTTCTCCTGATTATTATAACATCTGAATATGGACTCCATTTGTGTTCCACTCTTTTCTTTGTAATAGTTAGAGCCCAAAGTGAGTCCACATACTCTTTATTCTTCACGAGCTTTTCCTCCATAGTATGTTTCCTTCTCTTCCATTCAAGAGTTAACGGTACAAATTAGTTCATTTGTGACTTGTGTTGGAAACAGGAAGACAAACAAGTATTTCAGTTTATTTTTATTTGAGACAATAAATGAGACGGGTAAGGTTCTGTCAGATGAGTTTTTACATTACCGTATTTATTTTACAATATTTCTAAATAAAGTGTTTGAGTAAAGGTTTCACTCCACATGCAACAGAGGTGAAATTGAGAAATATATTGTATTTCATAGGGTCATTAAACAGCCGAAGTGAAAAGCCTTCATGTTTCATTCGTTTTAGAGCTAAAAGCTATTTTATGGGATATACAGTAAAAAAAGGATCTAGAAAAAAGGAAAAAAAAAAAACCTAAATTAAGTGTATTTACCCTTAATTTAAGTAGGTAAATTATATATTTTGTCAGTGAAATTAGTATTTTTACTCTTAAAATAAGATAATTAGATAATATGCACTTGAAATAGGACAATGCAATGTTTTTTTCTTATTCTAAGTGTAAATTGTCTTTTTCCATTGGCTAAATGTCTC